TTTTTTGTAATATCGATAACAACGTCGTAAGATTATTAGAGAAAAAAATCGAGTCATGTTAATTGCTGCACATGAGCGCTAGTCGGGGCGATGCAAACACCACTCGTTTCGGAAAAATTACAAAATTTGAGAACTTTCGCGAGAAATCGTATGAATATGTATGCGATTCTGAATGTAAATGGAGCTATTTGGAAGGAGCGAGGTGATTAGCGGCCAATGAACCTGGATGATATCGATTGCGGCCGACTCTGAAGGACTAGTTTGTTTTTATTCGAGTGTCAGCTGTATCTGCTGTTCCACACCTGTCTATTGTTTCGTAATCTTTCAGGGTTTGGTAGCAGGCTCTGTTCGGCACTTTTACAGCTTCGTGGTCGAATCCACTAGATCGCGGGTGGTTCAAAAAGCTGATGTTCTCCGGGTAGTGTCGAAATGAAATTCGGGGTTAAATAAAGGTGCTTCTGTCTAGATTAACTTTTGCTCGTGTTCCTCGGCAGACGGTGTGATTCTTTTCGGTGGAGGTTTCTAGTTGCAATATGAGGTATCCTGCGGAAGTGGTATAAGGAATTAGATGTTTCAATAGTGTGGTATAAGCAAAATTCAGAGAATTTCTCCTATTCCTATGATGAGTTCCTCTACACTAAAATTATTCGATCAAAAGTTCCATAAATAACTTATGCATGGAGGAGATACATTTCCTATCACATTTCGTCCCGTTGATCATCGATTTCCTCAATCGGAGCTTATGTGAAAAAGTGACCATGGCGCTCATGGCCATCCTGGGGTGGGTTTGACGTCCCGAGAGAACCGCTCAGTAATATTTCCGGTCCAACGATCATCAACATATCGCATGAAGTGTCCGGCCCGCCCGATCTTCGTTTCCTTAGTTCAAGCAACGGTAATCCTGATCTTCGTTAAATGACGGAACTCGGAACTCTCTGCACTTACGTGCATAGGGATTCCAGGCGGTGTCTTTTCTACGGCGCGTTGAAGGGCGCTGACAGCATCTTCAACCTACGTAGCTAGAGCATTCAGCGATATTCCTTCCTCAGGTGCCAATCCGTTTCTCATGACATCGTCTTTGTTGACTTTAATCGCAGGCCGATATTCCCACAAGTGTTTTTAAATTCACACATCATTCGTTCACCCCGCTCGATGTTCAGTGTGATGAAAATGATGTCGTATTCGAAGCGGATATGAAGAAGCGACCGTCGATCGTCTTCCCCGTTTCCGGTGAAAGACTAGTTATTCCAAATGACGCATGATATTCTTGAGAGCAGCACCGAATTGTTAGGACGAGGTTTAATCGCCTTGCCAAACCCCTCTCGTCACGTCGACGATGACTTCTTATAGGGCGAAATCCTGCTCATGAAGTTGTCGTAGAGATAATGAAGCATTCCTACGTATTAAGAAGAGGCATGCTTGCTCAAGGCTCCAAACCGCCTCTGTCTCGGCAAGTATCAAAGGCCTTCTTCAAATAGATGAGCGACAGACATAACGGTATCTTGTGTTCTCGCGATACTTCATCAATGAGTCTTGTAGCTGTGGATGTGATCTATTGGACTGAAACATCTTCGAAACCCCGCTTGTTGCCAATCCTGTTCAGGATGACGCGTGTGAAAAGCTTGTAGATTACAAACAGTAGGCAGATTGGGCGCCAATATTGTCTAGATCTCCTTTCTAATACAGCTACCACAGTTTTGCTAGTTTTCCACGACGTGGGCTTTTTGCATTCCGATAGGTACCGCGTGAAGAGGCCAGCCAAAGTTCTGACGACAGCTGGTGAAAGTCTCGTTAGATTTTCTGGTTAGGCTCTAACGGGACCGAGTGCCGTACAAATCTTCATCGACGTGATAACGTGTCGAATTCGTAAGGAAACTGAAGCAAGGACATAAAAGTCTTACCTAAAGTGGTAGTTTGCAGATAGATGAGCGCTCTTCCCCGTCTCAGCAGCTTCGGCATCACTACTGCTCTCCTGTCCTTCTGATCTTCTTTATCGCTTCTCACCATTGCTCGCCAAGTTCGGACATTTGTCGATATTTGCCTGTGTCTTGTATGATTTCAGGCTGACGTACAGAAATGTGGCTCTTTGAAACTACTTGTAGACTCTCCGTCTCCTAGCACTATCGTGAAGATGTTCAACGAGCCGGTTGTATTCTTTGTCGATGTTGTCAATAACGGAAATTTCCCATAGACTCGCAAGGGAAGCGAAATGGTTGATAAACGTTTCCTGAGGCTTCATTTCCTGAATTTCGAACTCCTCCACGCACTGAAAAACATGATCTAGTGTGCTGTAGACGATGGTCCGGTCCCGAGTAGAACTTCGGAAAAACACATCAATCAGCAAACTTTTGATGAAGTTGATGCGATCATTTTAATTATGGAACTGTCCACCAAGTCTCACAAGATTGACGACATATGGACAGAACTTGAGTTTCGGACGGGACTCAAACTCCTTTCCTTTGAGTACTGACTGTGATCTTCAGCGGATCTCCTAGTGCCAGTCTCGGCGTTGAAATCACCGACGATTACTTACGAAAAAGTGTCTTCTTTCTGGAGAGCCTTTTCAGGACCATGAAAACTCCTCCAGTTCTTCTTCTTTGTAGCTCAGGAGAAAACAGTTTTCCCCAGTCTCAAAGGCGATACCTTCTCGTATCATCTCGGGCATTCCGATGACGTCGTGCTCGATCTCCTTTGCATTATCAAATCTTTGATACAAGCGTTCAAGCATTGAACGTGCCACCTTACTAGTTCTTCTTCTTTTGGGCAATGTGTTTTTGTCGTGAGATTTTATCTGCCTCTCCACAGCGGTCCTAGCAACGCGGGTGTATGAGGGTTCTCTCATGCTCAGAAAAATGAAGGCGATTCATATTACTGTTTTTGGAATACGGATACCCACGAGGAACTTGCCAGACTCTGACGCATGGGACGGGTTGACTCCGGGTAGCTAGCCAGGCTACCTCACAGTGGACAAGGAGTTTTGATTTTGATGACGGTCTCGAATCGCTTCCCGGATTCTTCCTAGAGAGTCGAATGCAAGCTTTTGGCTGAGCCGAGCCTTTGTGCAGGATACCAACCGCACCCGCAGTTTCTACAAACACGCATGCACAGATACAGCTGTGGGGATACAGAGGGTATAAATCGATCCAGCACTGCAGAAGGAGATCCGTGGAGAAAACACAATTTTGATAGGCCATTACCATATGAACGTTGATGCTTCAAGGAAGGTGTAATCAG